CAAAAATGCATGCGGATACTCAAATGAAAGCTCTTGATCAGTGTAACATCAGGATGAGCTTATATCTTTAAAATATATATTATATACATGTATATATGAGAAATATATCAAAAATGCATGTGGGTAGTCAAATGAAAGCTCTTGATCAGTGCAATATCGGGATGAGCTTATATCTTTAAAAACGTCAATAGTTAAGAAAGTACAGTCAATTTAACCAAAGTCATTATTTAATCAAGCAAAAATTTATTTATAGTTCACAAGTCATGGAAGTTATATACGTCAGCACAGTTGCTAGTTATTATTATTATTTTTCTAAAAATCATTTTAATTAAAATTTTGACTTAATAATATAAATATGATCATTAAAAATTGAAATAGTTATCCGAATTTCTTTATTAAATTTTAATGGTAAAAAATGCAAAACTGTGTCATTTTATTAATCAATTTAATTAAATTTTGCATGAATAAAAAAATCATACATAAAAATATTTTAGTTGTACTTTTTAGCGGGTCATAAATAAAGTAAAAGCAATATACGAGATAATGTTTTTATGTATGATTTAAAGGTGTAAAGAAATAGACAATGTGAGGTCGGGAAGTGAGGAACGAGCACGGCTGCTGGATGCCAAAGTAGCCGAACGTGAGGCACGAGCCAATGGGATGGAGAGAGAATTAAAAGTGGAACGCGAGTGGCGTACTTCACTTCAAGAAGCCTCTGTTTCAAACACTGAAAAGATTTCCCAGCTATTGCAAGAAATTGACCAGCTGAAGAGCGTTCACGAGGTGATAAATCTAATCCCCCTTTATTTACCTTCTTAAAGTTATTTTTTAACAACTATTTATAAACATTTATTTTATAATTTGTGATTACTTTAGAAATATCTGACCCTCCAAGAAGAGCACTACGCGTTACGTGAAATATGCACAGAGCAAGAACGCACGCTGGAAGAACTTGGCGGGCAATTAAGCTTAGCGAAATTAGCGGCCTGCGAATTACGTGAAGCCGTAGACAATGCGCAATATCAAGCAGCTAATAATGAAGGAACTAATGGTACTCCAACATGGGCTAATGATCGACTTGTTACTAATTGCAAAGGTTGTAATCGAGAGTTCAACTTAACTCGTCGTAAGGTAATCAAACTTCTTAATTACTATTTTATTTTTTTTTATCCAAAGTTTTACTTTGATTAATTTTCCAACTCTGATATTAAAACCGAAATTTATAGATTAAAATTTTATTATTATTTCAACTTTAAAAAGTTCGTTTTCATTTTAGATCTCAAATTTTGACTAAAATATATTTTATATTTTCTTTAGAATACCTTATATTTTTACTTAAAATTTTATATTTTAATTATTTGATTTCTTTGGAGGAAAAAAGTTAGGTCATTGCAAAGGTCTTGATCTGAATTTGTACCTTTTCAAGGTTTCATATTATATTTTCACCAATAGTTAATTTATTACGGTAAGTATTTAGGCTGCATTGGAAAATGCTCTATTTCTAGATACATAATTCAAAAATGACCTTGTATCTCGTGAAATATTGACATTTTTAAAGATATAAGCTCATCCTGATGTTACACTCATCGAGACCTTTCATTTGAGTACCCACATCAATTTTTCATATAGTTCATATATTTATATATATTATATATGTATATATGAAAAATATATCAAAAATGAATGTGAGTACTCAAATGAAAGCTCTTGATGAGTGTAACATCGAAATGAGCTTATATCTTAAAAAATATCATTAATTAAGATATGACATTGTATCTTGTCAACGAATGATATTTTTAAAGTTACAAGCTCACCCTGACATTACACTTATCGAGAGCTTTCATTTGAGTACCCACTTCAATTTTTCATATATTTCATATATTTATATATATATTATATATATGAATATATGAAAAATATATCAAAAATGCATGTGGGTACTTAAATGAAAGCTCTTGATGAGTGTTACATCGGAATGAGTTTATATCTTACAAAATGTCAGTAGTTAAGAAATGACATTGTATCTTGTCAACGAATGATATTTTTAAAGTTACAAGCTCATCCTGACATTACACTTATCGAGAGCTTTCATTTGAGTACCCACATCAATTTTTAATATATTTCATATATTTATATATATTATATATGTATATATGAAAAATATATCAAAAATGCGTGTAGGTACTTAAATGGAAGCTCTTGATGATTGTAACATCGGGATGAGCTTATATCTTTAAAAATGCTAATAGTTAAGAAAGTACAGTGAAATTTAATATGTCATTATTTAATAAAGCAAAATTTTATTTAATAGTTTATAAGTCACGGCAGTCACATAGTGACTGCAAGGTTGCTAGTTTTGAGTGAAAAAAGTTAGATTATAAGGTCTAATTAGTTAAAAAATGAACTTCTTTAATACCAATAAACGATTTATTAAGTAGCAATAAATAATTTGTTAAATACTACTAAATATTCATTTGGTGGAAATAAACGAGCTTTAATAAATAATTTAGTAACTATTACTAAATTAGAACTAAATCCTCCTATTATAGTGTAAAAGTGAGAATTAAAAATTTTATATTAAAACGGTTCCTATTTTCAGGATATTTAATATTTGATGTTTATTTAATTTTCATACAGGTATGAAAATTAAATAAACATCAAATATTAAATATCCTGAAAATAAGAACCGTTTTAATTTATTACAAACTATGGATAAGAACGCTATTAAAATTAAAAATTTTATTGAATATATAGGGCATTCCACGCCAAATCGACCACTTTTGACCCTGACCCCTTTTGATTTGGCTGAAAGTATACCATTCTTTTCTACCCTATCAAAAACGTCTCTCATAATTTTTTCAAATTTTTTTACCCAACTAAAAAAAAGTTCCAAATTTTTCAAAAAAACCGCTTTTTTATTTTTAAATTGCCATAACTTTTTCAAAAATTGGCTTATCGGGACGTTTTTTTTTTCAAAATTTTTGTTATTAAATGTTCTTTTTGGAAAAAAATATAAAAAAATTCTTTAAAGCTATCTTCATCGTTATTATTAAAATTTTTAGAAAAAAATCCGAATTTTTTTATGAATACCATTTTTAGTTTCTTTTTTCTTTTTCTCATTCTAAACTTTGACATTTTTTACAGATATCATGAAATTTCCAGAAAGGTGTTTTTCCGATTTCTATTTTTTCTTTTCAATTAAAAAAAAAAAAATTTTTTCTTTTGTCGTATTTTTCATAACACCGGTCCAAAAATTTACGGGAATCCTCAAAAAACAAGAAAAAAGTATAGAACCAAAAGTTGAACATGTTTAACATCGAGAAAATCAATT